CATGAGTGTTGATTTTTGTTCTAGATTTAGGGTTTTTTGAACTAATTATTGGTGTGATAGATGAGGTGATTTATTCTTTGAAATGATTTAGGGTTTTTGAATTTCAAGGTGAAGATATATTAAACAAACAAAATGGATTGTAGTTTAATTATAAAAAATTTTCTTTCGATTCTTGATATTAACTCCAGCACTAATTTCACAATGATTTTTTCTCATTACTAAAATTGTAGTTCTATTTAACTGCTCCTAGTGTTTGTCTAATTCATTTTCACTTCATAGACTATATATAGCAGCAGTAGTGGGCCTTACTTTTTTCTTTTTGACAAGTAAAATCTATTAACAAATCACCAAGAGGGTATACCTATTTACCACTATAGAGCAAAACAACAAAAAGATCTCTTATTCATGATTACTCCCCAACAGAGTCATCAACTATGGACATCGTGCCTTTTTGGGAAATAGACGTGTTTCCATACTATGTTGTACCAACTTGATTTCCCACATTAATAGAGTCGTCACTTAATTTTTTTGAAAAATTGAGAAACCTTTAAAAATTAAAACTAAACAAAGGACCGATCCGTCATAACCAAATTATTCTACAAGAGGGGAAGGTCATTACGTGATGCACCCCCTCTAGCCCAATCAATTGTTTGGCCACTAATAACCTTTTATTTTATGAGATTTAAATGATTGAATTATTCCACAAAATTCATTATTAACTCTGATTTACACTTTTCCCGACTAAAAGGAATTTAGTCGCCAAAAGCTATACAATAGGTGACTAAAAATTGCATTGGTCGGCGTTGTATAAGGTTTTAGCTACTAAATTTTTTTAGTAGCTGTATATTAACTATTGGCGACTAAAAAAAATTTAGTCGCTACATATGCCACAATAGGCAACTAAAAAAAATATTGGTCAGAGTTAATTTAGGTGTTAGGCTACTAAAGTTTGTTTTAGTCCTGGTATACTAATTTTTGCCGACTAAAATAAATTTAATAGCCAAATCACTAGCATCATTTTACTTTAAATCTTTGGCGCCCACCTAATTTGGTCGGTAAATATACATTTTTGATGACCAAAAAATATTTAGTCGTTATATACTAATTTTTGACAACTAAAATAAATTTAGTAGTCAAATAAATAGTAGAATTTTACTTTAAATCTATGGCGACTATTTGATTTGGTCAGCAAATATATATTTTCAGTAATTAAAAAATACTTTAGCCAGCAATAAAACTCAAATTATTTTTTTTTTTATGGAAACACGAAATATTACCACCCAATTTGAGTTTTATGTTTAATTTTAGTTTTAGTTTTTTTTTATTTCTCTATATCACAGATACATACACCAAACAGGAGTGACCAAACACCAAAAAGAGTCTTGCTCTCCCTCTCTCTCCCTCTCTCATAGTCCCTCACCGTCGGTCAGTCACCGTCGCTCTTCATTTCCTCGGCTCCCGTCGACATTCAAGTCTCTCTCTCTCTCTCTCTCTCTCTCTCCCGCTATTTCCCCATTTCACTCTAACTCTGGGGTTTTTTATGTTGATGTTGTAAGATTTGATTTCTGTGAAATGAGTACATGAGTTTTGATTTTTGTTCTAGATTTAGGGTTTTTTGAACTAATTATTGGTGTGATAGATGAGGTGATTTATTCTTTGAAATGATTTAGGGTTTTTGAATTTCAAGGTGAAGATATATTAAACAAACAAAATGGATTGTAGTTTAATTATACAAAATTTTCTTTTGATTCTTGTAACGCCCTCAAAATAAACCCATTATATTTATATCATTAACATGCAATATTAAAAGAAAGCAATTCATTATCTCATTCATCAGAGTATTACTAAATGAAAACATTACATGTAATATCAAATTAAATGCCCTATGGGCTTACATCTTTCCAAGCCAACACTTGGACACAAAAATATGAGTTCTAACTCAAATACAAATAAAGCCCTAGGCTTGAATGTTTACATGTACTAACAAATAAAAACAAACAACTGAAAATAGTCTTCAAAATCCAAGTCCTTCCAAGCTAAGTCCTTGGAGGTAGCTTATCACCTGGACCTGAAAATGATGTTCCCATAAAGGGTCTGGGTATAAGTTCTGGGAGGGGAAAATCTACGCTCGAGTGGACTGGTTTTCGCGCTCGAGCGGAAGTGCTTTATTCTTGTGTCTTGGCACTCGAGCGGGCCTTATTGCACTCGAGCGTGTCCAGATTTTTGTTCTTGGCACTCGAGCGTTTTGTTCTCCGCTCGAGCGGGTCATGCGTATATGAGTTATCCGCTGGGTGATTTTAAATCTTTTTACTTTCCTTTCTCTGTCCTACTTTTTCTAAAACCCATTTTGAGAGCTCCTCTCTCTAAAACCTTGACTTCTCTCTAGGTATTGATCTAGTAGGAGTGATTTCCTCACCTTTGGCCTTTACAAAAAAGTTGTTGATTGTCGAGGGCTATCTTTTAATCCGAGAAATTCGTGGGTTGGAGCATTTTCATCTTCTTCACCTTCTTGGTTAGGAGTCATCTTTTGAGGTAGGGATATCCTACTCCTCTTTATGAGTTTTGTCTTTAAATTTTGGCATTTCGATATGTAGGGAGTTGTTGGGTAATTTTGAGAGAGTTCGGGCCTTTGTGTAATTTTACAAAAGTTGGGGTGTTAATTATATAAAACCTAAATGCATGTTTGGCATGAAGGAATGAAATTAATATTGAGACATTGACGAAAATGAAACCGTGAAGGGTTGAAATGTTAATTATGGAAAACGCCCTAATTACATTGATTGATTAATTTGTATAATTAATTGTTGGAAATGAGGGATTGAATTGAGGATGTGGAAATTGGAAAGGGAAGGGGTTAAAGGGTGTAGTTCGATCTTTTATTGCTCACCTAATTGGAATGTCGATTTAACATCCATTTTTGTGCATTTATTTTCTGTTTAGAAATAACTGCTTTGGGCTATCGGTGGAGGATAGTCTTGATTGTTGTAGACAATGCATGATGATTAGGCAAACTAAAATTAATCGATTGAATGTGTCATAGAGTATGACGGTGGATAGAATACATTAATTTTATGTATTGATTGATTGTGTATAGAACCCTTGTGTTTATATGCATTGTGTGTAGAGGAGGAGATGGGGGATGTACTCCGCGGTTTAGGGGAAGATGGGGGATGTACCTTTAAACCGGATAGTGTTGGGAGGAGATGGGGCTCATATGCTTGTCTAGAGAAGTGAAGATACAGCTTATAGGCTTATCTTTGAGAAGTGAAGATACAGCTCATATGCTTGTCTAGTGAAGTGTGGATACAGCTAATATGCTTATCTGTTGATGCGTAATATGTTTTTCTGTTGATGTGTTGATATAGCTAATATGCTTATCTATTAAATAAAGATGGAGAATGAAAAGTGACATACACTCGTATGTTATGAAATTGTGACGTGATATAGTTGCTAAGTGTGCAGAGTCTTTGCAAGTAGAACTATCACCGAAGTGCAAGTGGAGCGCAACCGAGCTTTAAAAACAAACCGCAGATCATACAAAAGTAGATCTAGGGTTTCACTAAATCATACAAAATGGACGTTAAATAATCTTGAATTTGTTAAGTTTCCTGTCCTAATTTGGAAAGTTCTATAGCTTACTATATGCAAAAAGGTAGGTTTTGTCAAAGGGTACATCAGCTATGATTGCCTATATACCTCTAGAAACCACCTTGAATGTCCAAGGGGATGATCAAATGGTATAGGATAGCCAAAGTCTGATGCTTGCTTATTGACATCAACATAGCCCGACGAGTGGCAAGCCATTCAGGATATTGAGCAACGAAGCTGTTTAAATCAAGCTCACAATGATGCAAATGCAATGAACAATTAGCCAATTAAATATCATAAAATAAAAATTTTCAAGTCAAGTTCTCTTACTCCCCAACAGAGTCATCCTGATGAATTGAAGAATGTGGATCTTTTGTATATAAATGTATGTCTATATTGATGGGTTTAATGTTATTTTTTTGAAGGCGTTACACTTACTCCCCAACAGAGTCATCAACTATGGACATCGTGCCTTTTTGGGTATTAGACGTGTTTCCATACTATGTTGTACCAACTTGATTTCCCACATTAATAGAGTCGTCACTTAATTTTTTTGAAAAATTGAGAAACCTTTAAAAATTAAAACTAAACAAAGGACCGATCCATCATAACCAAATTATTCTACAAGAGGGAAAGGTCATTACGTGATGCACCCCCTCTAGCCCAATCAATTGTTTGGCCACTAATAACCTTTTATTTTATGAGATTTAAATGATTGAATTATTCCACAAAATTCATTATTAACTCTGATTTACACTTTTCCCGACTAAAAGGAATTTAGTCGCCAAAAGCTATACAATAGGTGACTAAAAATTGCATTGGTCGGCGTTGTATAAGGTTTTAGCTACTAAATTTTTTTAGTAGCTGTATATTAACTATTGGCGACTAAAAAAAATTTAGTCGCTACATATGCCACAATAGGCAACTAAAAAAAATATTGGTCAGAGTTAATTTAGGTGTTAGGCTACTAAAGTTTGTTTTAGTCCTGGTATACTAATTTTTGCCGACTAAAATAAATTTAATAGCCAAATCACTAGCATCATTTTACTTTAAATCTTTGGCGCCCACCTAATTTGGTCGGCAAATATACATTTTTGATGACCAAAAAATATTTAGTCGTTATATACTAATTTTTGACGACTAAAATAAATTTAGTAGTCAAATAAATAGTATAATTTTACTTTAAATCTATGGCGACTATTTGATTTGGTCAGCAAATATATATTTTCGGTAATTAAAAAATACTTTAGCCAGCAATAAAACTCATTTTTTTTTTTATGGAAACACGAAATATTACCACCCAATTTGAGTTTTATGTTTAATTTTAGTTTTAGTTTTTTTTTTTTATTTCTCTATATCACAGATACATACACCAAACAGGAGTGACCAAACACCAAAAAGAGTCTTTGCTCTCCCTCTCTCTCCCTCTCTCATAGTCCCTCACCGTCAGTCACTCACCGTCACTCTTCATTTCCTCGGCTCCCGTCGACATTCAAGTCTCTCTCTCTCTCTCTCTCTCCCTCTATTTCCCCATTTCACTCTAACTCTGGGGTTTTTTATGTTGATGTTGTAGGATTTGATTTCTGTGAAATGAGTACATGATTTTTTCTTTTTGTTCTAGATTTAGGGTTTTTTGAACTAATTATTGGTGTGATAGATGAGGTGATTTATTCTTTGAAATGATTTAGGGTTTTTGAATTTCAAGGTGAAGATATATTAAACAAACAAAATGGATTGTAGTTTAATTATACAAAATTTTCTTTCGATTCTTGATATTAACTCCAGCACTAATTTAACAATGATTTTTTCTCATTACTAAAATTGTAGTTCTAGTTAACTGCTCCTAGTGTTTGTCTAATTCATTTTCACTTCATAGACTATATATAGCAGCAGTAGTGGGTCTTACTTTTTTCTTTTTGACAAGTAAAATCTATTAACAAATCACCAAGAGGGTATACCTATTTACCACTGTAGAGCAAAACAACAAAAAGATCTCTTATTCATGATTGGTTCCACAAAGTGTCTGCAAAATTCATGATTGGTTCCACAATTCCCTGAAACCAACCATACAAGAAACAAAAACTTACTCTCTAATTTAAAGAGAGGTTGTTCCACCCAACAAAGGTTGTCGATTACACTTGGCCCACATAAGCCACATCAAACATAACAAGGTGCCAATAGCCAAGCCCTTTTCCTCTACTTGCCTACTACTCCCTCCTTTCAACAAAGAAATGGGTCCAGCACACTCCTTTGAAAAACCCAAATATACCTAGGATCATCCCCAAGCTTTAGATAGCTACATATTTGGACATTTTGACTCTGTTTGTTTTACGCTGATAAAGAATATAAAATGTTTAGTGCAAATCAAACTCAAACTTAGTGTCATGTAGGCCACTTTTAAAATAAATCTAATTCATGCACTTAATTTTTTGGGTAATTTTTAAAGGATTATGGATTTGAGTAAGGATTTGGGATCGTTTTCCAAGTTGATTCAATGATTTAAATTATTAATAAACATATAAACAACCTCGTCTCCTTTTTTTCTTTTTTTTTTCTTTTTTTTTCTATGAGTACACACACAACATACATTCTATTCTACTTCCTTTTACACAACCTCCTTGTAATCTGAATTCAGTCAAAGAGTAATTCTAATCTTCATCAACTCACACAATTCAACCAAGTTGGGGATACAAGCATTAAACACACACTCATTTCTCATCTTCCATAAAGACCACAAAATAGCCAATGGTTTAGCCCTCCAAATTTTCCTCTCCTTTTTCAAGAAACCTATTGCCCTCCTACCAATAGAATAGACTTTCAATTGTACCTAGCAAAGCCCCTTGTACATCCCACCAATTTAACATTGAAGCCCATACTCTCCAAGCAAAGGGACAATGCAAAAGTACATGGCTCATATATTCATCTTCGTTTTTACAAAAAACACAAAGGATTAGGACATTTCTTTGAAGAACACCTATCCTTTGAAGATAATCAGCAGTCTTAACTTTGTTTTTCCATGCTAACCAACCAAAAAATTGGACTTTCTGAGGTGCATACTTGATCTACACTAGCTTTGTTATTTCTTCTACTTATGATGATTGACTTGTACCTCGAAGCTTTGCTGATTACATTAATGGAGGGATAGTTGAAAAGGTAGAGGTTATACTCTTTTTTGTACGTGTGTGTGTAACACATGCATTTAGTACAAGTAAACAGAGCTCCCCTTAAAGCAATTTTTACCCAAACCTATAGAAAATCACAACAATACCTAAGTTTACTGGAGGGGAAAAAAATCATAGTTATTTTCATACATTTGCATCTAGAATTTTGTCGTAAATGTAAGATTTGTTTTTTGTTATATGAAAGTTTTCACAAAAAAAATTCTTTATTCCCATGATTGCAAACTTACATTTAACCATTTTTAACTCCATTTCTCAAGTTCTCTTGAAGCATATCTCCATATTAACTTTTCTGAATCAGTTTTTCTAAAATTTTGGACTTGGTTACAAGTTTATTTTTATGTGTTTGTGTAACAAATTGGCTCTTGGGGATGCATATCCTATATTTGAGTGTTTCAAAACATCAAGAAGAACATAATTCAGCTCAAAGAGCTTTGGTTTTGGTGTCAATATTGATAGAAAATTTATGTTTTTTAGTGCATTTGACTGAAATTTGTTTTATAGAATCTCTTGACTTTTGAATGGCTCGGTTCAAGCGAATTTGGTAGATTTGGTGGTATTTTGCGTAGTCATACCTACAATAGCTGCATCATTCTATCTATGGTACATAAAGTACTGACTTTCAAAGTGTGTTTTTGACTTTTTTTCTCTTTGTTGTTTATCATATGCCCATATATTTGTATTGTCTCTACCTTCTCTTGATGGACTTGGAAATTGCTTTCCTTTTTGTTTGTGTCGTTCTTGTTAAAATTCTCTCCTACTGCTTTTATGATTTTATTTTCTTTGCAAGAGAACAATAAAGAAGGGAGTTTTGATTTCTCTGTAAAGGTAAGGGTTAAGCAATTGATGTTGTGTCGTGTCGTGTCGTGTCGTGTTCTGTTTTTTTTTTTTTTTTTTTTTGGGTGCTAAAATTGCTATAAAAAAGATATAAAAAAATCAGATGGCAACAATACTACAAGTTTTGGCCTAATTAGATGACTTCTCTATATTGGTGTGGTGTCTACTATGGATTTGTAAAAACAAATAATAAATATAGGTTTATGATATAAGAATTCTTACCGCGCTTTATTGGTTTAATGGTCAACATTTGGTAAATTCACAGCATTTTCTAAATTGGAGTGTTTCAAAGAAGTTCCAAAGAGATTGTTAGAGTGTTTTGTAAATTTGTTTTTCTCATATACTGAATTAATGGCAGGCATTCTTATAATTTCTTCTATATTTCCACACTGTTATTCTAAATGCTTTAAACTTGAATTCCTTGCATATGAGTTCCTTAGAACTATAGATCAAATAAATCACTATGAATGATATGCTTGTGTATATTCATTTATTGTCTTTGTTTCTAGGTAGTGTACTGTTCTTGGTAATAAATGTTGGAATGAAATGATCATTCCACTATTTGGTTAGCAAAAAAAATACTGAATAGTCATTCCTATTCAACTAACATGGCTGAATTGCCATTCTATTTGGGATGTATGAAATAGGTATTCCATTCCTTTCATTTTTTCATTGCAACAAAAGTTGCCCCTGTAGTACATAAACAAACATTTCATTTCACGGAGCTTCTTCGACAATTTTGTAACGTAACAACGCTAGATCGTGGCATGTCTCCTCACTCACTCATATCTCTACTTCCTTCATCTTTCTTTTTGAAGTCTCATATTTTTGTTAGTGATCTAATTTATTTTCTTTTCCTTTTCTGCTTGATATTTACAATTATTAATATGTGGCTCACTTCTTATTGGTAAGGAAGAATGATAGGCAACTACTTTCTTTATGCTCTATCAGGTTGCTTATTTTGTTTATCATTATGGTTAATTCTTCTATAAGAAAATGGGGATTTCTTAGAATAAAATTTGTATAGTTGGTGCAATCACGTGATCTAATAATTATACCCAAAAAAATTCCAGGTTGATCGAAAATATGTTCTGTTGATTTTCAATTGTGGTTGTATTCTTTGCCTTACCTTGAAAAGTAAATGTGTAAAATTTTATTTAGTTCTACTGTTTGCCTGCTTGTTTTGATGCAAATGTCCAGACATGAAGTAACCAAGTTATTATAGACTGTGGAATGCTTCCCCAATGGATATAGCAAAGTGGTTAAAATAAGCAAGGTCTCTGTAGATTCTGGAATTGAAGGGGGTTCCAAACAAATGTAAATGCTTTATGATTTTATTGTTTAGCAAAAAAAAGTTTTCCCAATTTTTTTGTTTTTGTTTTTGGCCATCTATATCTACATGTTTGATTTGTTTCATCAAGCATATTACCTTCACTTGAACTTGTATACAACTTACCCAAAAAAAACTTGTATACAAATATTGAATTCTTTGTTATGATAAATTTCGATCCTATCATTTTAGTTTTGCAATTTTCAATTTTTTTTATTATTAACTATCATACTTTATAAGAATGTTTTGTGTGAGGTGAAATAGTCCTTAAGAATGAATGAATGACCTCTAATTTTGTCTCCTGTAGATCTTCGAGAATCTGAGCAATTCTTTATAGACCACCTTGGTGTTGTGCCAATTACTAGGGAGTAACAGGTCTTTCTAGAGAGCTAGGAGGTCTCAAAACTTCGGTCTCAAAACTTCGTTACAAATTACGATTTTGTCACCTAATTTTCTTCTTCCCTTTTTTCTTTATATTCTTTTGATTGAAGGTTAAGCCCCTTGGAATTTAACTAAGAAATTCGTAAAAGTAACAACAAACAATTATGAGAAAACAATTTTAATAGTTGTGTTTCTTATTTATTAAAATTATTATTATTATTATTATTTCAAATAATGGGCACCAACAATAGCCATGAGAAGACGTGCCTTGCGTGCAGCCATCTGTAGAAACCCCATTTTTGACCGTCCTCAAGACTTGGGCGTCACCGTTTGAGCAGTCCATGTTTGGCACTACTTTTTCAAAAATCTGTTTCTCAAAACGATTTGCCAGATTTGGACTCTTTGGTTCAGATTAAGAACCGTGACACAAGTCGAGTCCGAACTGTAGCAGCGAGGTCCCCCCCCGCGGACTTGTTACACCATCTTACTAGTATATTTATATCTGTCAGGGAGATTTCAGGCGAGGGTGTGGGATGAGTCTTCCTAGTCTGGAACACCTATGATGAAGAGGAAATATCAAGAGAGGTGTTTGGGAAGAAGGGATATTTAAGAGGTTTTGGGATTAGCCCAAAACCCTTTTCCTCCGATTCTAGATCAAATGCTGTAGCACTACGAGAGGTAGAGATGCAAAGACTTTAGATCCGAGGTGGAGATTACTTTTGGCATGAAACATATTACTATTGGCATGGTATAGATTACTAGTGGATATTTGTTTTTTGTGTACGGAGAACATGGTTTTGGTATGATTCTTTGTTTTTATGTAATTATTATTTTAGGTTGGATTATATTTGGTTTGTATGGAATTTGACATTAAAAGAAATTTTTGGATGGTTGAAAGTGAAATAGAAACAAGTATATGTATTGTTTTGTTTATATAGAATATAGGGTACAGGTTGCACGAAATAAATACAAGTTGTGCAGAACTTAATAATAATAAAAAAAAACTAAATAAAGTTTTGGTGACTAAACATTTAGTAGCTAAAAAAAAAAAAGTGAAGTTGTATGCGAGTAACCAATTGCTAGCCAAAAAGAAAATCAATATTTTCAGCGACTAAATATTTGGTAGCTAGAAAGAAACCAAGGATTTTTGGGGATTAAAGATTTAGCAGCTAAAAATAAATAAGACTTTAGGCGATTAAATAGTTTAGTAGCTAAAAAAAATAAGATGAAAATATTTTTTTTTTGGCAACTAAATATTTAGTAACCAAAAATAAATGAGACTTTAGGCGACTCAATAGTTTAGTAGCTAAAAAAAATAAGATAAAAAATATTTTTTTTTTTGGCAACTAAATGGATAGTAGCAAAAAATAAAATAAAATGAAAAATAATTTTTTTGGCAACTAAATTCTTTGGTTCCTAAATGTAATACTATTGTAACTAAAATTTATCCATGACTAAAAGTTTTAGTCACTGAAAACTAAAATTAATTTTATTTGAAAACTTTTGGCGACTAGATGACTTTTGGCTACTAAAAAACATTTAGTCGCCGTTTACTTTTCCTGACAAATGTTCAACGACTAAGTAGGCAATCAAATAATTTAGTCAGCAAAAACTTTCGGCGACTAAATATTGACTTTTGGCGACTAAAAATTTAGTCACCAAAAGTGCCATTTGTTGTAGTGTTTACTAAACATAAAACTAGGTGATTTGAATAAAGAAAATACCAATTAATTTGGATTAAATGAATATAGCCATATCTTTTCCATAAAATTAGCTTTCTACACACATGACTACAAACATAACCCAAATCAAGCAATATTCAAAAAATCATCCAAAACAATCAATTGAGCACGAAAAGCATATAACTTGCATTATTTAACAAACAATGTATCAAACAAGTAGTCATGCTATGAAGAGGAGGAAACTTACCCCGATTACACTGCAAAGCGTCTAACCATGCAAAATATGAATAAAATAGTACATATGATCCTAAATATGCTACTAATCATACAAAATACAAACTTAAGACCAATTTAAGGGTACTATCATGTTTTAATGTACAAAAAGCAACTAACATGCTGAAATATTAGTGATGCATGAACTGGGCTACATTACATGAAGATTAAACTAATCCTAACATATAAATAATTAAAACATGCAAAAAAAAGAAACTAAAACATGTAAGATAGCTATCCTACACGATGCTTTGAACTAAACTAACACCCTAATCATGACCATCTAAGGAAAACATGAATTAAAAGCTAATACTGAAATTAAATAAGAACAAGATTTGTACCCTGATAGTTTGATTATCAAACAGAAAGCAAACAAAAAGGCGAGAATGCCTTGCTTGCAAGCTTCTCTCAGACTTGGCTTTGATTTGATTCACTTTACTCAAATCCTAGATACACTTTTAGTAATTGTTGTTCAATGTGACAACCTTGTTCCGTGTTATGTTTATAATCTCTAATTATACATGTGTTTATGTGTTATATGTAAATTTGAATCCTAGTTATGAGTCTATTGTGATTTTTGGATGCCTATCTATTGATTGTAGAAATATCTATCACAATATCAGCTATAATCTAAAATTGAGTGCTGTAGAGGTGACAGAAACCGAAATTGGTTAGACCATTGTGATAGGCATAATTTTTAGAGCCTACTGTGAGGTTTGATAAAATTTGATTTAGACTTAATTAATTAGATTTAAATCAATTAATATAAGTTATAATTGATTAGCTTAGTCCTTGTTTAATTAGTCTAGATTAATCACCTACTATATCTATGATTAAATGGTGCTTAGGCTCAAATATTTGAGCTCTCCTTCAACAAAATCTACTGAGATAGCTTAGAAGAGTGAGAGAAGTGTGAATTTGGAGAATTGAGCTTTAAGGCTTGAAGGATTGTGAAGATTAATTCAAGTTCTTGCAAGAATTGTTGTAATTGAGGGCTTTAGGTAAGCATTTGAACTTCAATTTATGAAATTAAGTCATTTAGTTTGTGAATTCAAGAGGAAGTTGTGAATAAGTATAAGAAATGAACTAGAATGAAGGAATTGAAGTCAATTTCATACATGAATGCATGATTTTGTGAAGTTTCATGTTTTTTTAGCATCATTCATACCATTTAAGGTGAAATTAGAAGCTATATTGCACATGCATGCATGATTCAAAAAGCGTTGAGGGTGAATGTCATGTATTTAAAGTGTTGGAAAAGAATTTGGGTCAAAATAAGACATGCATGGTGAATTATTCATGTTTGAGCTTCAATTCTTGTAAATTGGTTGATATATTCATGTTTGTAGTGGTATAGCTGAAGTATAGAACATATCATGCAAGTTACACCCTTTGAATATGTGTTTTGAAGCTCAAATAGAATTATGAAAATTCCAAAAATTTGACAGACCGCTCGAGTGACCACATGGTGGCTCGAGCGCGCATTACGAGCTCTCAATATTTTTGTTGGCATTGAAGGTTGGCTCGAGTGACCGAGTTAACGCTCAAGCGACCTTCTTTGATATTAATTGTTGGCTCGAGCGAACGTCGAGCCTAGATTGAGACCATCCAGTACTTTTGCAGACCAAAGAGTCCGCTCGAGCCACCAATGTTACATTCGAGCAAACTGTCCTGTTTCAAGAACTTTTGAAATGCCATATTCTATTCTGATTTCCATTATCTTTCATTTTTCAGTATTCTTAGGCATACATTGGGCATTCTAAATGAATTAAAGAATTAAAAAAAAAACCCAATGAAAATTAAACAAGTTTAGGAATAGATGGAATAACATTGTGATCCGAATTGTGTATGAATTGTGTAGGAGCGACCACAACGAATCAACCAATCGAACACTGTGAGTAATATCTTACTATACATATTTTCGTTGTACTCTACTTTCTGATTGTCCATATATGGTAAGCTTTTCTGAAACTATGATTTTGCAAGTGTGAATGAGTTTCCATCTGTCTAAACAATTCGATATCCATACAAGTGAATAATGTGATATGAATATGAACAATGGACCCAAGATCTATCTGTATAATCAAATTGTGGACCCAAGGTCATTATGTAGCATTGAATAATGGACCCGAGGTCATTCAGTGTATCTAAATTGGGCCTAAGGTCATTTTGTATATTTCATAAGGTGGACCCAAGGTCGTTCTGAATTTTTGATAAGTCTGATTGACTAATATGAAATGATTGAATGGCCATTATACTATTGTAAATGATTAGATCCAAGGTCGTTCCGTAAGAGATGATTGAATCTGATCTATATATTTGTTAATGTTGGACCTGAGGTAGTTTTGTTAACTATTGGGCCCAAGGTTGTTCTGTTGGAAATGATTGAAACTGTACCGTATATCTGCTATCTATTAGATCTAAGGTCGTTCTGTCATACTTTGGACCCAAGGTCGTTCCGATACAAAATTCTTATTGATATGTATATGCTTATCTGTTAAAAAGTGGCTCATTCACTCAACCCCTTTACTTTGGTATTATTTACTAGGCGTTAGGTCACTCTACATTTATATGTATATAGGTGAATAGTGGGATGTCCAATCCCAGCCCTAGGGGAGCTGTGAGAAATGCCAGATTTTGTGAAGTCAGCCCCAAACACCTTACGAATGAGGCTTTTGGTCTTTTAATCTTTTGACTTCTTGTTTCCTTTTGTTGGTCGCTTGGCCATATATGTAAATATTGTAAGCTTTAAGTTGTATCTTAAGAAACGTTTGAGTGGTCCTTGAATTGAAACAAGAACTCCATAACTATCTGTTACGTGAGTTATTATATATAAATGAAATGTTTTTGTTATGCCATATATGCACCGCTCATACCTATTATTAAATATGATTTGATTTCTTTCTGAGGTCGTACGTAATCTCATGATTACTGGCCAGTTATGATCCTAACCTATGGGAGGCTTGTAACAAAGTCCATGTTGACATGTTTTCACTTCCACTCGGCAATTGGAAGAGGTTGTAATAATCCCACAGGTCTTTGATGTTTGGCTTTGACTTGTTGGCAGGTTAGGCACTTAGTCACAAATGAAGCTACATCCTTCTTCATACCCCTCCACCAAAACTGACAGCTCAGGTCATGGTACATTTTGGTGCCTCTCGGATGTGCAAGACGTAAGTTGTGGAATTTCTGAAGAACTTCATCTCTCATAGGTTTAGGTACAAACAACCGGTCAAAATAACGAACACTTTCATTGGCATAAATATTCAAACCCTTCTCTTCTTTCCCTTGGAGATTCTCTCCTGAATAGTCTCCACTTTTAGGTCACCCTGTTGTGCTTCCACAACTCGTGTAACAAGTGTAGGTCATGCAACGACGATAAACAGAGTAACCAGCTTAGAAGGCTCATGAAGTTATAAGTCAAATTCAATAATATCCCCATCATCTTCCATTCCCTCACTGCTAGACTAGTTATGTCATTTATAGATTTTCTACTTAAAGCATCAGCCACAACATTGGCTTTTCCGAGATGATAGTGTAATTCAAAGTCGTAATCCTCCAAAAACTCAATCCATCTCCGCTGACGCAAGTTCAAATCTTTTTGAGAAAATAAGTATTTAAGACTCTTATAATCGGAGAATACTTCAAATTTCTGACCATATAGATAATGTCTCCAAAGTTTCAAAGCAAAAACAACAGCGGCAAGCTCTAGGTCATGCGTCAGGTAATTTCTCTCATAAGTTTTTAATTTTCGAGAACTGTATGCTACCACCCTACCCACCTGCATCAAAACACACCCTAATCCTTCCTTAGAAGCATCACAATACACCGTATACCCCAAGCCACATTCCAGAATAATGAGAATAGGAGTAGTAGTCAACGTAAGCCTTATTTCCTGGAAGGATTTCTCACAAGCGTCACTCCAAACAAACTTTACTCCCTTACGAGTTAACCTAGTTAGAGGTGATTCTATGGAAGAGAAATTTCAAACAAACCGGTGATAATAACCAGTTAGGCCTAGGAAACTACGAATTTTAGAGGCGTTTTTAGGTTGCTCTGAATTCTGTACAGCTTCGATTTTTGAGGAACCCACTGTAACCCTATCCCCAGAGACTACATGGCCAAAAAACTTCACTTCTGGGAGCCAAAACTCACACTTTTCGTATTTTGCATACAAACGATGTTCCCTAAGGAGTTGTAAGATAGTGTGGAGGTATCCCTCATGCTCCTTCTCGGAAGTCAAGTAGATGAGAATGTCGTCTACAAAAGACGACTACAAATTTGTCAAGAAACTCCTGGAAAATTCAGTTCATCAAGTCCATAAATGTAGCTAGTGCATTGGTCAAACCAAATGGCATAATGAGGAACTCATAATGACCGTATCTAGTACAAAAGGCTGTCTTGGGAATATCCTCCTCCCTAACTCGCATCTGATGGTAACCTGACCTCAGATCTATTTTTGAAAAACAACTTGAACCCTTAAATTGGTCAAAAAGATCATCTATTCTAGGTAAGGGATATTTATTCTTAACTATAACTTGATTCACTTTGCAATAATCTATATACAATCTCAACAAGCCATCTTTCTTTTTAGTAAACAGAGTTGAAGCTCCCCATGGTGAGGTGTTGGGGCATATGAAGCCCTTATTTAGCAATTCTTGTAACTGTTCCTTCAGAACAACCAACTCAGTTAACACAAATTTGTATGGCAACATGGAGATAGGTGCTTTACCGGCACCAAGTCTATGGAAAATTCAACCTCCCAAAGAGAAGGTAATTCAGTGAGATCCTCGAGACAGACATCTCAGTACTCATAAACTACTCTAGGAAACCCATTTCAAACCTTACCACTCCCATCATCTAAAAATGCTGCCAAAAGAGAGCTAAATTCGCCTCGCCCACATGGGTGATACAACGACGGTAGGAATCTATTAATCCTATCCCCCAGAAATGAAAAACAGTCACCACCCGATGTACATACTATAACTTTCCTACGATATTAGTCAATGATAGCTCGGTAAGAGGACAACCAGTCCATGCTGAGGAAAACATCAAAGCCTGACATATCTAACAATACAAAATTCAAAGGAAGTTGTCGACCAGCGACTTCAATTATACACTCAAAACATCCCCGATTCAAGACAACTTTACTCCCAACAGGTGATTTTACTATAAGCAGAGACTCTAGTTGTTTACTTTCTAACCCCAACAAGGATGCAAATGCAGTTGCTATGAATGAATGAGATGCCTCAATATCTATCAACAAACTGGCCCAGGTATTGAAGATAAGATATGTAACTCTCACAACAGATGGTCCTGAAGACTACTCTGATGCGGTGACAGCATACACCCTTCCCTGTGACCTCTGTTCTCTCAAATCGCCTCTCGGAACACAAGCCTGCTGTACAGATTGTAAAGATGTAGACCCGTGTACTGCCCTAGATGACTGACCTTATTGGGCGGGTTGATGAGACTATTTTTGCCCTTGGTCCGTCTAAAAACCTCCTAACTAGCGAGATCCTGATACTCCGGCTGACCCTGCTTGCTGTGGACAAAACTTCTTTAAATGCCCTGGTTGACCGCACTACTAACAAGACGGTGTTTGGGCCCTAGGTTGGGGTGGGATATGGGAACGAGCTAATTGTGTTTGAGCCCCTACTCTCATACCACAGTTTGAAGCTTTATGATCCAATTGGCCACATATAAAACAAGCACCACGAGTTTGACCCGTCTTCCCTAAACTACCAATCGTCATTGAATCGGAAAACTTAACTTGTTATGGTGATGACTGATAGGACGATGAACTCCTAGTCTTTTTTGAAGACCCCAAATTGCCTCTAAACTCCTGATACCCCAGCCTCTTGGATCTTTGTCTAGCTTCCTCCGCCTCCACCATGATTTTTACATGAGTAGCGGCTTACACAAGCCGGTCATAATCCCTAATCATATTACCCACTACCTTCATTAAAATTTTTGGTCTCAACCTCTTCTCAAATTCTAAGCATCGGCGTTCTTCAGCTGCTACCAACTCAGGTGCAAAGCTGGATAAGCTTATAAATGTGGCTTCAAACTCCGCCACAAGTGTATCGAGCTGTAATAGTTCTTCAAATTGTCTCGTCAATCGTTCCCTAGCAGTAGAAGGGAGAAATTTCTCTTGTAAGGTGTGCGTGAATGCCTCCCAAGTATGTTCAACATGATTTTTGACATATTTCCACCATTGCACGATCTCTCCTTTCAATTGGTAAGTTGCTAACGCTACCTGTAACTCATCCTCACAAATATCCAAAATCTCAAATGATTTGGCAATTTGCTTCAACCACTCATTAGCTTTCATAAGGTTAGGCCCACCACTGAGCTTGGCAGGATTTGAACGAAAGAATTCATTTTTCAAGGACGAGGCTTGAGTTTCTCCTTCGACTGTCCTAGCTGCTTGCTCGGCTCTCAGTATTTCCATGGACTCTCTAAGAGCCCCTACCATCTCCTAGGCCAAAGCCCCCATTGCATCTTAGGCTGATGGAGCAACTACATTGTTCTAACCCAATCATTCTTCTTGTGGAGGGATCTCTGGTTGGGCTAGAATATTTCGGCCTTCCCAACGAGGTCTGCCACGGCCTCTAACACGCCCAGACATCCTATAAGGAATAGAGATAAAATTAAATTCAAGACTCACCTCCCATATTTAAATACTCTGCTAAAGATCTAATACACTACACACAGTTTAGACATATGCTTATGCATGTATCTACTTCTACATAAGGAAAATCACATAAACACATAGTCACATAGAGCACATACGAGTCACTCTCCTAGGATACCAACTAGTCCCATGGCGCTCAAGAACCTCCAAGTGGAAAATGCATTGATCAGGTGCCTTTCCAAATGGATTTCAATGAATGCAATGGACAATAGTCATATCCTAGAAGCTTAACCCCATACCCACATAGCCACATAAACACATTGAGCATGCAAAGCACGTAAGCGTCCCATCCTAGACTATTAAACCTATGGTGACATACATCACTTCCCAAGAGCCTAAGGTATTCAAACCCAGCTAGCTTTGATACCAAATTGTAACGTCCTCAAATTATTTAATGACACAACATCCATCAATACATAATCCACATCAAAAGATCCTCTTTCTTATTGAACTATGGCTTGCAGTTACAATTTTGTATTTGACATATTAAATACAATTTACATAAATGACAAAGTTCAACAAATTAGAGGATAAACAAAAGAAATTGCCTTAATGGCTTACAAAAGTTCAAGGCTTGGCCTTATTATAACAAAGATGGACTCATGGTCCCAAACACACAAGCCCTAAGCTTCCATATCTATGCATCCATGAGCCTTGGCACTCCAATCAAAACCAAATGAGTATGCTTCATTTCACGGGGGAGGTGTTACTTCATCAATTCCTGAAATGTTAGATAGGGATGAGCTATATGCCTAGTAGAGATACATTTAACAGAGTATCTAGTTATTTGAACAATTTACATGGCACTATCACAACCCAACACAATGAAAAGTTTAACTTCAAAAGTAATAGGAGTAAGAAAAGAGATGCATTTCCATTCCCTAGAAAACTCTTCTCAACACCAAAGAGGGAGGTAAATATGCCATGCATCCCTCGTAGGAGTCCCACCCTACATATACGTATGGATTAATAACTAAAACTATCCCCATATTTGCCGGCTATTAATACGGCAAGTGGTGGGCACCTAAAATCATCCATTTTTCTACTTTTGTCGACTATTATACGACACGACCAGTGGACACCCGAAAACATTTTTCCTACATTCGTTTGGCGATAAGCTCAAGATAGGGCAATTGGGCACCTTAACTCCCTACGTGGGTACCACAACAACACATTAATACATTATCCTCAAAACTGACTCTCTACCCAAACCCGTACACTATTTACCACCCCTTTTCTACCACCTTCCATGCAACCAATATTCACAAACAAATGAGATTGAAAGCTCAAATATATAACACATGGAGTAACAATTACTATAATTATTATCATTCTTCATATAGCTATTAAATGAGAAATCAGTCAAAACATTGAATTAGTGACGTTAACTGAACGTACTAAAATAACATTTTCATTTGAGATCTCAAAATCAATATTCAAACTGATAATAACAAAAAAATGCAGTAAAATAAAAATTTATATATATATAGAGAAAGAGAGAGAGAGAGAGAGAGAGAGAGAGAGAGAGAGAGAGAAAAGATAGAGAAATAGAAAGATAGAGAGAGCACATATATTGCCTCAAATCTTATTTAAACCAAAGTAAAATTTTGTTGTCTGAAAACAGAGTATCATGAGGAGACAAAGAGAAAGAGAGAGAGAATATAGATTTGAGATTATAGATCTCAAATATGAGGTCGTCAATCTCAGATCTATGGTCTTGGAGATGAAGGATGATGATGGTGCTTGCTGGTGGTATAGTGGCATTGAATGGCGTTGGTGGTAGTGGTGGAGGCGGTGACGAACAAAGTCGGTGGTTGAGACTGTGATGGTGGAGATGGTGGAGGTGGTGGAAACGGCAGTGGTCGTAGTCGTGGATAGTGGTAATGGTAGTGGTGGTGGTGGTAATGGTGGTGATAGTGGAGAGAGCTCTTAGAGAGAGATAGAAATAAAAAGAGCTGAGAGAGAGAGAGAAAGAAAGTTGAGACAGATAGAGGAAGAGAATGAAGAGAAAGATAGAGAGATAGAGAGAGAGTGAGAGAGAAATAAAGAAAGTTGAGACAGACTGCGGAAGAGAATGAAGAGAAAGATAGAGAGATAGAGAGAGAGTGAGAGAGAAATAAAGAAAGTTGAGACAGACTGCGGAAGAGAATGACGAGAAAGATAGAGAGATGATAGATAGAGAAAGAGAGAGAGAGAGAGAGAGAGAGAGAGAGAGTGTGTGTGTGTGTGTGTGTGTGTGTGTGAGTGTGTGTGAAGGGTAAATTAGTCACACAAAATATAAATCTAAAATTTTTTGACCTTCTTACAAGATTTCTTTATTTTGGAGGAGTTTATGAGCCAAAATATTAGAGTTTGTCCTTTTTCAAGAAAAACAGGCTCTATGAAGGAGTTACGGCTAAAAATCCCTTTCCAAAAATAGTGATTTTCGAATAAAAAGAGATTTTTAAATGATCCATGGCAATAATCTCAGCCTAAAATAAACAATATTTATGAAAAATTCAAAACAAACTATTTTGCATAGAAAATATTTAATTTGATGTAATAACCTCGATCCGTGATTAACTAATAAACCGTGATTAACTAATAAACCATGATTAAGAATGCCTAGTAAGTAACAAAGATGAAATTATGAGTTAGTTGTGCATTAAGTGCATGTTTTGTGTTTATATTTGTTCATTGTAGAAATATCTATCGAAAATTCAGTTTCGGTATGCAAATTTAAGGCCTTGTTAGCATTCGAACATGAAATTGACTTGGCCAATGTGTTATTTGGAATTTTTAGAATTTTATGGTATGCTTAATTGAAATTTGATTTGGAACGAAATAATTAGAATAAATTACACTTAATTAACTTAATTTAATCTAAGCCTATATAAGGCTAATGGAACTCTAGAATCATCCTTACACTTACACTTCTTCATCCTCTTGAGCATACAAACTTAAGGGGAGAGAAAGAGAGAGAGAAGAGAGAGTTTGAAGCCAACATTGAAAGAAAAAGAGATTTGGGAAGAAACAAAGAGAATTAAGCTTTTACATCTTGAATTTGAACTCTAGGTAAGATCATAATCCATAATTCTTGTGCTTATTCCTTGTAGGAGAAGAATTCATGAGTTGTATAGAAACATTTGCATGAGATTCAAGGGAATTTAGTGATTACACACTTTAATTGGACTAAAATTATGGAATGGAAGATCATTCATGCATTGCATGCATAATACATAGCTTTTAAGTTTCATTTTCCACAAATTCTTACATGCAAGTGTATACTGTTGCTAAATTTTGAGGGCTCGCCATGATTTTACATGAAAACACTTCATTTCTACATGTTTTGGAAGTTTTGAATTTATATCAATACATGCATGTAATATATGTATAATTTCAAGTTTAATTTTGGAAAATTGACAATGCTTTTGGACTTAATTTTGCAAAATGGTTTTCAATTCATGATTAATTATGAGGTACAAGTGTTTTCCTTAAGTTTTGGGCCCAAAAGAGTGTGTTTCTGTTGCATTAAATGAGTTTTGAAAGCTTGGAGAGCAATCGAGAAATTCCAGAATTCGCACTCTTCGCTCAAGCAATGAAAGCTTCGCTTAAGCGAAGAATACAAGCTCCCAGAAGCTTTGCAAACATGAACCTTAGCTCGAGCAGCAAAAGCTGCGCTCAAGTAGCCACCATTTGTTTTCAGTCTTCTATTGAGCGACCAAAAGTTGGCTAGAGCGTAAAATGAGAGCTCTCAGTACTTTTCCAGACCAAGGGGTCCGCTCGAGCGACAGAAGTTGCGCTCGAGCTGTTGCTCGAGCGAACCGCCCTATTTTTCCAAAATTTGGCAAAGTGCTTTCAAGTATATTTTGACATCCTCATTGCATCATAGGCATTCCTAAGCTATAATTAAGACGTAATAACGAGGATAAGAGTTAGAAACACACACTAAGAAAGAAGAATGTTAAGTTAAGCATCTGTGAGACGTGTGTTCAATGAGTATCTGTTACGTATTTGTGTAGGTCATGCGTCATAGACCGTCTAATCTGTCTAATTCGTTTGTTCTGTGTTTGGAGCCATCTGTAAGTAATAACTCTATAAAGCTATGTTTGACTATAAGTATTTTCTGACTGATATGATGTGATCTATTTTTTGAAATGCTATTTTGCGATTCATGAATGAATGTCCAATTTTCTGAAATGTATTCGTGGCATTCTTACCATCAAGTGATATTTGTTATCTGTACCTAGTACCAGGGTTGGTTATGCATAACCGTATGTCTGCTTTGTATATGTCCCTTTTATGGGTTATCTGGTCCCTTTATGGGTCACATGTACTGTCTCATGTAATCATGAGTCATTTGTTAGCGCTATTGGATGTACCACATATAGCTATATGCAAAATCTGAATATGTATATGAATCTGCTTCTAATCTGAATTCTGAATTCTGATTTCTGAATCTATTATGGACATCATTCATAAAACCTTTACTCTGTTATTATTCACTAGGCTCCAGCTCACTATATTAGTTATATATGTAGATGATCAGGCACGTGATCAGGCCTAAATTGCTGCCCGGATCTATTTTGTGTAGACCAACCTATGTACCTTTCGAGGAGGTTCCCGAAATACTTCGAGTGGTCGAATTTGTGAATTAAGTTTAAGATTTTCATTTTGTTTTGTTTATGTCCGAACAAGTTTTTGCATACTCTGTATATTGGGCTAAGTCCCATTTTGTTTAATCTGTATATGAAGGTGATGATGGATTAGTGTATATATGACATCACGTATATGTATATAAG